ACTTCAGAAACGACCATTGTTTTCCTAATATATACTCAACCGCTGGTACAGTCCCAACAAAAAATATTTGTTATACCAAGAGGATGAACTTGCAATTTTTAGATGTCGATTCAATGTTGGACTTCCGGAAACAGGATGTCATTTGTTCTCTGTCTTGGATTATTCCCTGCTGATTCATCTAATTCCATTAGTTGTTCCTAACTATTTTCAGTTTTCGATTTATTTCCCAATTCTGCTGATTTTCATCGATGATGATAATTGTCTTCCATTCCTCAAATGAATTATGCAATCTCATGAATTTCCCTTATACAATTTACATCCTTCGCGATTAAGATCATCATCAAAATCAAAGAGCTCATTCATGTCACTCATAGATATCACTTGTGCAATTCTATAATATTTTTGAAAGAAGCTTCCCGTGATATACCAAATCATTATCACGATTCCTGAGAGTTTGTCTTGGCATGGCCACTTGGAATAATATTTCAGCTCACAGCAAATTTTGATACTCTACTTAGCTCAAATTTGATTATCTTGTGTATTACAGTAGTCTGTATACCAAACTGTGACCAGATCACTGCAAACCTCGCTTCAAACCCAGTAAACCCACGATATCTAATGAATGGTGCAGATATACTAACAAGTTGATGGAAGATCGTGGAAGATGCTTTGATGATGTTGAATTATCAGCCAATTGTTTCTTCAGATCGACATCATCACTTTGGATCTGTCGATGGATCTAATATCATGGATGTTCTTTTCAGAATATCAAAATCTGGCAGCCTTCGAGATAAATGTCCATAAAAATGTGAACCACCAGATTATTCGGAGATATGGGCAAATATTTGTTGAATACCGCGGCTGCTATTGATGAATTTTGAGAAAGTCAACCTGCTCATACGAAAAAATTTCATTGGGCTGTACAACTAACAAAAAACAAACTGTAAAGTTCGTACCGGTTCAATCGTCATAGGAGTTTATACAAGGGGTAAATCACGTGTGCCCAAGACGGGAATTCCTCAGGAAGTCCGGGTAGTCTTTGGGAATTCCAGGAATTCGTTGGGAAGTCCTGGAATCCATTGGGTAGTCCAGGTATTCTTGGGAAGTTCAGAAATAGCTTGGGAAGTCCGGGAATTTTTTCGTTAGTCAAAGTAGTCTTTGGGAGGTCCTGGAATTCTTCTGGAAATCCAGGAATTCCTCGGGTAGTCCAGGTAGTCTTTGGGAATTCCGGGTATTCTTTAGGAAGTCCGGGCATTCCTTGGGTAGTCCCAGGAATTCCTTGGGTAGTCCCAGGAATTCCTTGGGTAATCCCAGGAATTTCGGGGATTCTTTCGATGAAGGAAGTCTAGTGTACCCGAAATTGGCCCGTGATTAACTCCTCAAGTTTATATCTGGTCCGAAATGACTATCATTTCTTGACGTGACCGATACATTTCTTGGTAGGCAAACAAATCACCTTCACAGCATTGTCGAAAGGTGTTGCATTGACAAAATAAATACTGGAAAATAATGGTGGTCTTTGAATGACTTTAGTTCTTCATATATATCGTAGAACAAAAGGACTCGATAGAAGAGTATATTTCATATAGTTACAAGTCGCAATATCTACATCTATTAGGTCTGGTCTAGACCACAACTGTAATTGATATTCATGAGAAGAATGAGAGCATACGGACGTGCGTCAACGTCAGCTGTTATTTTAGAGACGACCGAAGAAAAGAACGAATTGATAATAGCAAACGAGTCGTGCTATGATACGTTGTTGAGGAAGTAATTGTGGTTAGAAGCTCGATAAAAGATGCTATTCTGAATCTAGCAGAGAATTTATAACGTAGACTGAAATCGAACGGATCAATTTTCGATTCTTCGCGGTCAAGAAACCTTATCTAATCATGTAATTGACCTGTAAATTCAGAGATTTAGGTCAATAAACGTCTAGTGAGTATTATACCTATTCACTCCATCATATTCAGGATGAAAAAATGATGGCGTTTCCATATAGGTAACGAATCTCACTCGAGATCTCATTTACTTGAACCATCTTGAACGCAGATAAATTTGTCTAGCTTGATGGAAATTCAAATTTTTGTTCATGATATGTGTTGAATACTATAGGGTGCTCCATATTGCTGATTAGTTTGAGAAATCTATACAATAAGGAGCAATTGGTGCGACGAAAATTTCGAAAATTGAATTGAATCAATTGAAAAACTAACCACATTATTCAAATCATGTCGTTCGTTGTATTGCTTCACATTCAACATTCAGATAGGCCATCTAGTTGCTAGATAGCTAGCTGTCTTATGACTTGACTTGTGGTTGAAGTGTTTCAACAAATCTGAATCTTTCAAGTGGAATTAAATCTATTCATGAATTTTTTGTCAATTGCATTGTTCGTATTCCTTCGCTCCATATTATCTAAACTATAGTTATCCGTTTTCCAAGATCTAAGAAGCAATGTATAGGAAATAAGAGGCCCTTTTCATTAAGTTATTTCTTGACCCATAGTCCTTTTTGAAAAAATTGGAGGAGTACACCTCCACCAGGGGGTTGAATGCTTTTCTATGCTTCTATGCTTCGAAAAGTTCTTTTCCAGCCTGTAATACTTTGCAATTAGTTTTCGATGAGCCAACCTGTATATAAACAAACAGTTCTATGAATTATAATTCGAATCAGCTGGATTCGATACTGAACAGCTGGCTATCTTATTTATGCGAAAGTAATCAATTGGCATTTTTTATGAAGTCACATCGGATTTGAAGAACGTGAGACACGATTGGAATATTTCCCTGAATATTTGAGGTTTTAGCAATCATTTCGAGGTCTGATTAAAAGTTATCAGCTCTGGTGACGTAAAACTTGGTATAACATTGGCAATGATTGAATAATAAATGTAGTATGACCGAGAGTATGACTAACCATAATAGAGAAATGTGAAAATCTGAAATCTAGTGATACGAACAAATCTAAATCATACCATGGGAGTATAGTAGCAGTTGTTTTTCGGGGTAGAATAAAGGCTAGACAGTTGAACGATGAGACTGGAGAATATGGGAAACCAGTGAGGAAACAAGTTAACAGACTCAAAACACAGAGTTTGCTTAGTTCCCCTACGTCATTTTTTGATCTGTTTCTATTCGGATTCAAACCTCATATCTATCATGAAACAAAAAATAGAAATAAAAACGGTAATGACGGTTGTTGCGAACAGCCCTTCTGCCCCAGATATATCTCAGAAATAAATGGGCTTATATCACAAAAAAAAATATTTCATAAATCGATAGAACTCACCCAAACTAGCTCACCACCGCAAACCGTTTCTTGCTGTGAGCTCCCTACGTTTTATACAAAATTATTGAAATCCCCGATTTTTCAGACCTCTGAAAACGAGGCAATGATGTGACGTCAAAACCCTAATACTGAAACAAGACTTTTTCAGACAGAAAGGAATGATACATGATTTCTGACAAAGTGAATTAGCGCGAGATCACAGTTGAAAGAATTAATATATCAGTTGCCTCAGTCTCCGTCGGGCGTTTGGTATTTTCTTTTAACTATGGCGAGATGAGGTTTCTACGTCATAAGAGGGCCCGTTTTCAGAAGGTACTATTATTTATGTCCAAAAATAAAATATTCCAGTTAATTTTTCGATCGAATTATGTCGTCAATCATTATTTATGTATAAAAGGATCATTATAAACATGGTTTGAGTTCAAAGTTCTACTAAGGTGTACACGCCCATTCGGAGATGACATCTTATCATATCTTCGTCATCATAGTGCATTATATCAGGATGTCTACTCTTCGACGATTAGCTAGTGTCAAACTGTCAACCTGAAATAAGTAGCGTCTTCATATGTCTCAGAATATCTTCACAGATGAGACGCCGGTAACGGTTATTTTCATCGGCTCGCTAATACTGACCAACTAAATTATATATGCAAGGAAATAAATCTCCGAAGTTTTTACATTCTCTATCGAGTTTCTACAACATCAATCCCTGAATCAGATTGGCACGATTATTTTGATACAAAATCTTCGATATTGCTTGAGGGAATAAGGAAAACCAAGCATTCTCATGATGAGATTGGATCTGAGGACTGAGATCTAGCTCATCAAAAAATTCACAATTCTTCAAAAATTACGTTCTTCAGATATGATCCATTTACGACGGGATTTACATTTCAATATCAATTCAATATTTTCGCCTCCCGGAGTAGATACGCATAGTTGGATAGTTCTATATACTTATAGTTAGTTATTAGTCATATACCCAACAATGAGGCTCAGTATTTCTCATACAGCACATATGGTTCAGTTTTCTGTTCAATCATTCTTTGAAGATCTTAGGTTATTTGTTCATAGTGGTGCCCGCGAGAGTCTCGTTTTCGAGAGTCTCGCATGGTCTCGTCTCGTTTCCGAGACAAGACTCGAGACGAGACTCGGACAAGACGAGACTTTTATTGGTCTCGTCTCGAGTCTCGTGCAAGACTTCTCGTGTCTAGTGCGAGAGTCTCGCAGGTGAATATTTCTGCGTGCCGACTGCTTCTGAATCTCTCATTCTAAGTTTATCGCACGAGATCTCTTAAGCATACCGGCTACTTCAGTTTTCTTGTTTAGAAGTATGATGTGAGTATGTACCTATAAGGTTCTTACATATCAATGAATAATGTTATTTTTTTGTAATTTTGTCTTCCTACTTCTACATTATACCTAGAAAGAAGGTAAAGGTAAATATCCCGTACTAGACTGGTACAAGATTTTATGCATGACGAAATTGCGATACATCTGCGAGACTCTCGTACGAGACGCGAGACATGACGAGACTGGAGGCCGCGAGACGAGACTCGAGACAAGACTTCATATTTAATCGGCAAGAGAGACGAGACTTTATGAAAGTCTCGTCTCGTTGGTCTCGTGTGAATCACTATTTGTTCAACTATTGGATATTTTGATTGATTGAAATATATTATCCTGACCACTGTTTTTTTTTTTTTCAGGTTCCAAGTGAAAGTAGCGTTGGTACTAATAGCAGTACTGCGTCTTCCTCAGAGGTATCGCGACCAGTCTCCCTAACTAGTCTAGGTTCCTGTTCTTCTAGCGGAAGTAGCGGCCATAATCAGCCAGGTTCAGCATATTTAGCATCGGTTGAAAGTCTGGATAGTGATCCAGAGCCCACCGGAAGTCAAGGTCAGTATTCCATTTTCAAATCAGTGAATAGATCGAAAGATATACAGGGATATATACAGCGTGTCTCACTTAAAATAGCCCCCTCTATATCTCAACTATTAGTTGTGCGATTGGGACCGGTATGGATAAAAATATATATAATCAGTTTTTCAGAGACGAACATGATTTTGGATATTGTAGTGTGATTTTATTAAAATGAGAAGGGGTAAATTATTCATGAAATCACATAAGGAAAATTTTCTCAGGGATACTGGCCTCATAATATTGTTCCTCATGGTTTCAAAATTTTTTATTACATATATCAACAAAAAATTGTATATTATCTTGTTTTTTCTTTCATCATTTCCTATCTACCAAAGCTTATCGAACGTTCCAAAATTTGCAGTTGATTTAAATTCACTATCTTTTCGAGACAGAAAATGAAAAAAAAAACTTATCCTGTTGATTCGGAATGAGGTGATTTTTTGCATAGGTTCAGAAGCATAAAGAACAAGAATATAAAGTTAGTTTTGCTGCAAATATTCACAATATGAATTAATAAGAAATCGACCTCATGCATTTTATATCTTTAAAAACACACGGTATTGTCGAAAAGGATGTCTGAAAACCTGATCAGATTGATGGCTTTTCATACCAGTCCAGATTTGGTGAGAATCGCACGACTAATAGCTGAGAAATAGAGGGGAGGCTGTTCAAAGTGAGACACGCTGTATATCTAAAATTTGAGCCTGGACAGGTTATTGACGATTCTTAATATATTTCAAAACATTTTTGGAAAGCATTCATTTCCATTTATACCGATAATTCAGCTGGTAGATACAGCTTTTATACTTATATTAACGTTTTGAAATTCTGCATTCGATGTTGGCATCAATCTTTGTAGCACCCCAGTAACCATTTGGAAATCACACCTATAACTTCTAATAACAATAAGTGTCCGAGTAGTGGTATTTTCTGAAGTAAGCACCAATAAAACCAATCAATCCACTTTGACAGTGCGAATAGACATCATAAACCAATCACTTCGCACAAGAACAGTTATTCAATCTTCGAACGTCAACGTGAGAAAAAAATTTCCTGTTAGTAACTCACTCTTAGTCAGCAAAGATTTTCTCTTTTCTTTTTCTCAACTGCGGGGCATGCATGTATTCATGCATTTCATGCAGTTATCTTTCATGCCTTGGCCATTTTGAAGCCCCGCATGTGATTTCAGCAATACCTTAGGCGAATCACGCAAGTATACCCACTCAGATTGCGGAAAAAATTCATACTTTCATCGGTGGATGTCTTAATGTATGCTAAGAAAAATTCTCGTTGAATCAGCTCACGTTTACGTAAAGTTCGATTTGAAACAATCGAGTGTGATTTTCATTTCTCTGTTATCTCCAAGAGCAAAACAGACTCTTGGATAGTAAGCGTCATGTTCAGTTGTGTTGCCGTCTGGGGTCTTAGATACGTATAAATGATACCAAAGAAGCTATCAAAGCCACTTTCGAATTTCAACATGAGACACATCGCATAATTTAAGGCTCATTTTAGGCTAATTTATTACCCCATTCCCGAATTTTTTGCTCCTCCCTATCATAGAAAAATCTGTGGCTTTGCTAGCTTCGGCCGAACTCAGCAAAGCCATTTTTGAAAAACAATATTTTTTGAATATCTGATATAGTGAGGATGTAGTGCTCATCTTAGGCTAATTCATTACCCTATTCCCAATTTTCTTGCTCCTCTCTATCATAGAAAAATCTGTGGCTTTGCTAGGTTCGGCCGAACTCAGCAGAGCCATTTTTGAAAACATAGATATATCACCGATTTGATATATTGAGATCAAATGGCTAATTTTAGGCTAATTAATTACCCTATTTTCGGATTTTTTGCTCAACGTTTCAAACAGAAAAAATTCAAGACAATTTGTCGAAATACGCGTCATTCACTGTACAATATGTATTTCTATCAAAGGCATAATATTTTATGACAATTTCATGGGGCCAAGTGTTAGTATCAATTGTAAGCTTGATAACAATTCCATTTTGGAATTTTTTGCTACATATTTTTTTATTTATGATAGAGCTTGTGTTTTTACACAAGAGAAAAATAGTTGCAGTAGGGCTCACATAATGTAATAAAAATCTTAGCTTCCCATTAAAAAAATTTGTTGATGACGTCATAACTTTGAAAACTTTGACGTGTTATTTCTGTAATTTATGTCAAAAGATGCGGAATAAAAAAAACAGTTTGACGTGTTTTTGCATTTTTTTCAAAAGTGATCGTTGTACGTTTTATGAATTTTGTGCATTACTTTATGATAACCCTATATATGTAAGCACCTGTACTTTCGAACCCATGCTACGAAATGTATATTTTTGAAGCAATATATGTAGTCTATTCTATTCATTTCTCTGGGCTTCTGAGATTTTCTCTCTTCTTCTCTTCTCCCAATTTACTTCATTCATTTCATGATGTGCTAATCATTTTAGCCTCGTATAAATTGTGTATAAATGATTTTTGAGTACCTACTGCATCAGGCATGATGTGATAATTCACAAATACACACCCATTTCCTCTTTCACAAACACCAACAAAAAATATTTACGATATTTGTCAAGTTGGGATGCAGCTTTGCATGCATAATGGGAAACGCGTATACATACAGGATGTATGTTTTGAGATAGTATCTGGCAAATCTCAGAACTACCGGATATATAATGATAGGAATTACAAAGAGAGAGAATCTGTGTATCAGTATCGGATGTTAATTTGGAATTTTAATTCAGACATCAGAACTGAGAACTCATCATTCAGCAAATTCCATCAGAATAAGTTTGCAATAATCTGGCAGTAGATTTCCCGACATGGGTCGGAAAGTGTAACACCTAAGGGGGCTACAATCTCTTGAAAGAGCTTACCTAATTGAACGAGTTGAACTAAAATACGGTACTGAATTCGAAGATGTGGAAGAAAAATATTAGTTTGATGAGACTAAATTGGTAATCTAAAAAAAAATGCCAATTTCTGACTCGCTAGGTATACTGGTAACCTTGAGAGAAAGCTTCGTGCGAAATTAGCAATAGAGAAGAAAACAGGTTCAGCAGGAGCATTCAAAACTATATCTTCACAAATTCTGGTGTAGTACCTATTGGCATTTTTTTGTTGTTGTTGTTGTTGTGTCAGTCGGAACGATGTTCCTGGAGAAAGTAGGTACCTACCTTCCCGATACGAATATGTTCGAGGAATCTGATGGTTTGTCTAGAAATGCCAAAAAGTTTGAAGCAGCTTCTAGGTCTCTGCTCTTCTATCATGATCCAATTTCATTTCGACCAAAATTTCATTTCAATCGGTTGAAGAATCGGGGTTGTGTCATAACTTCCAGTTGCCTCCTGCTGAGAGTTAACAGTAAACAGTTAACAGTGGTTCACTCAACGCGATACCATTCCTTTCTATTTTCAGGATCTGCTGACAGTGGGATTGCGGAACCAGAACAGCCTCAAATCAGTCCGGAACTCCGGGTTCTTCAAGAAGTGCTAGAAACAGAAACCGTCTATGTAGCTGATCTCAGCGAGGTCATTCAGGTGAGCGAAACATTATTATATACAAAGTGATAAACGTATACAAAAATCTTCATTCATCAATATCTCAGTAAGGCTGCGAAACAATAATTGAAGTTCCATAATATTAGTCTTAAGGTTTTATAATATAGGACATAAGTTTTATGAAATGATCACACAGGTCCTTGTGGCGAATGACATAATACATATATATGAATTAGGAAATAAGTTACATGTTTTAAGATACGGACGTGGTTCTTATGATTCAAAATTTAGAAACCCAACCAATCACAGCAATCCTTGGTGTTGTGGAAAGTATAAAAACAATGCGCATTTTCATGATTATATAAGTAATAACTTCGATTATACTGACATAATAACCGAAAATAATACTCTGAAATTACTGAATATCCCGAGGAAATACCGAAGGATGTAATTCGATGTTCTGCGTGGCATATAGCCAGGAAAATAGTTGTTTTTCTTTATCGTTATCTACCATTTTCGTTGATTTTATGAACTATTGTGGTAATGACTTTGAGCTCCTCTCTTTTGTGATCATTGCATTTCACTTCGAGTATTTTTGGCTTTTTCCTTATTGAAAGCCAATATACTCCTGGTATTCATACTGAATTAAAATTTGTATTGGAACGGGAAACACGGTGGCATTGTTATGTTCCTAAAACAAAGCTACAATTCAGGACATGAATCTTCAGATTCGGACCCAGTTTTCATAAACAGAACTCAGATTGCGCTAGTTTTGCTGCTCTGTGTATTTATATGGGGATCCCCAGAGGATCACTCAAGGCGCTCATTGAGATTACTTATATTCATATCACAAAATTCCAATAGGGTACTTATTTATTATTAAATTTTTCTTATAAAAATGAGAAAAATAGAAATGTCAGATATCGCGAGAATGAAACATTCTGACTAACGGTTTTCATAATAAATCATAATTTCAGATCGTTCGTATACTTTCGTTAACATGTGAACTGCACCAGTTTTCTAACAATCATTACTAGGCAATCGCTAGCCGGCACTAGTGTAGTTATTGGGGGGAGTCATCTGTCATCTACATAACCAGAAATGGATGAAAATGAATTAATCATTTCAGAATTACGTCATTTGACAGATCGTTGAAGGACAAACATTGTAGTTTGTTATATAAAACCAGAAGTAGTTGGATCGTTTTACTTGGAACCTGAGTTGGAACCCAAATGAGGTGCATGATTTAATTTGGTGAATCTGTTAGTGTATTCTGGATGTGGGCAGGACTATGCTCATCAAAGGTCACTCTAAGAAACCATGCCGAAATCACGTGTTCTATAGAATGGTCAATAAGCAAACAAATCTTCTTCTGGCAAATGAATGAAAAAATATTGATGGCTGACATGACGTTCAACCATATACCAGCGTAATCTATCTTGAGCTTTCCAGATTACCTTATTCCAAGTTTCCACTTGATTCAGTGCTGGGAGCAACGACAAGGAATTCAATTATTGAGAAAATGAAATTTGACATCATAAATGTGACACTGAGGTTTGAACAAACCTATACTGTATTTCAAAGAGGCATTTATAGAATAACACTATTCTTCCTCCAACGAATACTGACATATAGGTACCAAAATAAGGCTCTACAGGGTGAATCTGAAAGTGAGGTTTTTCATTTAACAAGGTATATATCTCGCCAAAATAAGTTATTCGGACAAAAATTGTTTATGTAAAAAATGTAAGATAATGGAGTTAGAAGCATTTCAAGGTTTTGTACATTAAAAATCTAATTTTATCAATCTAACATCCATTATAGGAAATATGATTCAAAAATGACTTCCAAACGAAAACTAAGAGGTATTTGATCAATTTATCTGATGAAATAATACAACTGTAGAGTATCTAATGCTGGACTAATAACGACTTTTTTGTGTGGATGTAAACAAAATGTTTCATAGTTGGAGTCTTCTTTGAACCTTCAAATACCTGTACCTCCGTTATCTTATAGTATATCATGTAATAAGTGTTATGAACGTCCTTTTAGTAACGAGTAGTTTAAGCACGAGCGGAGTAGAGCGGAGCGAGTCTTTAATAAACGAGTGTCTAGAAGAGTTTATAAACGCGTTACATACTATGATTTTTCTACGAACTCCGGAAATTACATCAATATACCTGCAATTCCTGCTAACCTATAAAATAATTCGAAAGGAAAGGGAATTGAGATCATAATAATACATGCAACTGCATGCAACCAGCGAGACACGTATAAGTGATATTGGTTGTAGATGTGTCCAGTCTATTGCTTACTAACCTTTGTTTCACGTTTATTGTCATGCTTAGAGCAGAATAAATAAATTGTTCTCAAAGATGGATGCTTCATTTTTACACTTCTTGGAGATATGCAAGTACCAGAACATTCTCTCCGATTTCACTTCCGTCTACTTTTCGCATATATTTTTAATGAAGAATTCTGATACAAACGAATATTGTTTGAATAATTCTGATACAAAATTCGAGAATAACAGTTGACAGTTGATACAATTGACAGGCCAGATGTGTCTCAAATTACTGAAGCTGTGTTTAATGAACTGCGTTGCCATGGTAATGTGTTCAAGAAATCGTGTTGCCATGGTATATTTTGAATAAATAGCGTGGTACATAACCGTACGCTAAATGCCATTTTAGTTATGTGAGTAGAAACAATATTTTATGTCAGCACTGTTTTGCCAAACAACTTATTCTGGTGAGATATATATCCTGTTGAAAAAAAAATTACCTCACTTTCAGATTCACCTTGTTTATGAGTGAAATTACCTTCAGCGATTCATATATTTTTTCGTCAAACCATACAAATGATAAATCTGTCAAGTCATAATCAGCCTCAGGTCCTCAATGTGACTTCAATAATCGTTTTCATTCACTGATTCCCATCAAAAGGTTGAACGCTAACACAAACAGGTCTTTAACGCCTAATAGTATGTGGAGGTGTTTACATTCACCATGTTTTCACATTATAACCACATGTGGGGATTTCAGTTACCGTAACAGTTCAAGATATCTAATTATGTTCCAAAATGCTTTCAAGCTATGTTTATTTGTACTGAATGTGCCCACATATCCATCATCAGTCAATAGGATATTTTTATTCGATGTTCTTGAACGGTGGACATTTTGAATGGAAGATGTAGGTTTTTATTATTTCACTATTATTTTCATCGCAATATACTATGATTTTTAACAAATTCCTTGAATCAAATGAAAATCAAATCAAAAAATACTTTATTGTCTGAAGAAACTAATGGGCTTATATCACAAAAAATTTTTATTTCATAATTCGATAGAACTCACCCAAACTAGCTCACCACCGCAAACCGTTTCTTGCTGTGAGCTCCCTACGTTTTATAAAAAATTATTGAAATCCGCGATTTTTCGGACCTCTGAAAACGAGGCGATGATGTGACGTCAAAACCCTAATACTGAAACAAGACTATTCCAGACAGAGACGAATGATACATGATTTCTGACAGAGTGAATTAGCGCGAGATCACAGTTGAAAGAATAAATATATCAGTTGCCTCAGTCTCCGTCGGGCGTTTGGTATTTTCTTTTTACTATGGCGAGATGAGGTTTCTACGTCATAAGAGAGGATCCGTTTTCAGAAGGTACTATTATTTATGTCCAAAAATAAAACATTCTAGTTAATTTTTCGATCGAATTATGTCGTCAATCATTATTTATGTATAAAAGGATCATTATAAACATGGTTTGAGTTAAAAGTTCTACTAAGGTGTACACGCCCATTCTTATTGACAAAGTCATTATGAAGAATAAAACCTAAGGAATAAAGTACCTGAAGGGTAAAATCTCGGGTAAAACATAATAATTTGCGATTGTTACAATAGTATATATATACATACTTACATATACATAGCATTTGAGATATCAGGACTCAGGAGGGCCAGTAGCAACTTCCAGACTATCAAATGTAGTGGAAAACATGTTAAAATTTGTCTGAATAAAATTCTTCTATAGAGTAGTAGGCTTTCTTTATTAGAAAATTTCTAACGGTCATTCTGAATTTTTTTTTGTCACATATGCCTTTAATCTCGTTTGGTAAATGATTATACAGTTTTTTTCCCATTATAAATGAAAGAGTTTTCAATGAATGTAGTAGACGGTAATGGAACTGTCATTCTTTCTTTCATTATTATAAACTACTCAACACTAATTTCGTCGCACACCAAAATGTTGCCCCTGTTATAATGTGAATAACTTTTTTCAGTTTAGAACAATTCGAATTTGGTTCACACTGTTCGATAGCCCAGTCCTTCAGCTATAATCTGGTTCTTCATTGAAACATAAGGGTATTCACATAAAATCTCTACATGGTGTTTTCCGACACTGTGCAAAATTTCGGAATATTCAAAAGGCTCTCAAATGGTGAAAAAAATGTTTTTGTCAACTTCGACAACAGAGGCATGAAGATGATCTCATTACCTCGAGATATTTCGCGAATCAACTTCCTATCTCTCTTATTTACAGAGTGATCTCAAAAAATCTCAAAAAACTTTTTGGTTTTGCAGCCATAACTTTTTTCCAGGTCAACCGATTTTGGAAATCTTAGGCTCATTTTGAAGATAAAACTTCAGATGAAGAGATCTGACTATCAGAATTGACTCTAGATGGCTATCAAAGACCTAGAGTTTTCTTGAAAGTGACCCAAATCTGGAATGCCCTTCGAATCTTGGTTGGGAGGAGAATTGAATGAAAATCAACTTGTTCTCGGAAAAACAATTCATTCTGGATGCGTCCATATTTTCCTCGCTCTCAGTAGTCAAGAATTGTGCGTGAGAAAACACAATTGGAACATGTTCTTGCAAAAACATTAGATCATTTCTCCTCTGTAATGCATGGCCCGCCGTAACCAACGTTACAAGAATCACAATGAGTGACTGACAAATCCGACCAGCTGAGGCTCATCATGAATAGTGTACCAACAAGAGCAACGGATTTTGATTTTTTCAATAAAGT